TTGTAACTGACTATATTTGATTAAAAAAACCAAAACAGTTGGTCTCATCAATGCTTAGTGTTAGGTCAACAGGAGTGGGACGGGTGCAGGTGTCTGTGGAACCTGCTTACCCTCAGAGGACCTCGTAGCTAGTCGGCAACATGAAGCTCTCATAGATGGGATAATGGTTAGTGAATTGAAGCTTATTTTTTATTCAGTACATGTAACCTCAGCTTTGTTCAACTGAGTAACTTCAGCTACTCCAATTTGCAGAGTATTGATTGCTGTTTCAGAACTTGGATATATATACCATTCAGTTCATAAGGTGTCTCAGCTTTGTCTTTAGATAAAGTTGTTGGGAGGATGAAAGGAGTTCCATGGTATCGGAGTATAACTGAACAATTACACATGATTCTCTTTACCACCATGTAAGGCAAAGGGAAAAAGCAACATGGTGGTCTTTTGAAAGGAAGGTAAAGGATATGGATTATCATTCATGAGTTACTGAAGAATCATATTCAAATATTCTTGCCCGTTTTCTTTCAGAAAAGGGAAAATAAAGGAAATGTACCAATGTTTCCATCAAAGGCTGCTCTTAAAAGTGCCGAGTACCCCCAAATTAAATTCATGCTTCTTAGTTCTCACTTTCCCACAACATTGGCATAATTCAACCATGGCATTTTTCCAATTATCTCCAGAGTAAGAAATAGGGCCTTAACTGCCTCTTTTTCAAGGAACAAAGTTCTTAAGAAGCAATTGATTATTGTTTGCCGGGGTAAACAGTAATTCTCCTGGGGATCTATTATTTACAGGATAAACCTTAAAGGAAAAAAAAATTCAGTCTGAACACATTCATTGCTTTAATGATCCTTAGAAGAACATAATCTTATTTTGTTCTTCTTTTCTTCTCAATGTTATGACTTTGCTTTCTTTCACAAGTCTATAGAAGCCAGGGTCTGCAATTACCAATATGCTCAGAGTCCTATAAAGGCTTAAAATGGATGGACAGCATGCAGTTCCAGCCTTGCTTCTTCTAGAAGGCATAAAATATCTATGTGATGAATACACACAAGTATATGGACGTAGATTGTGAGTCTGTGTATGTACACATGCACACATTATGTTTTACTTTCCTCATAAAAGCAGATAAACATATTTTAGGAAGATTTAATATGAAATCTCAAATCTATATAAGGAAAAACATAGATGGAAAAAACTTCAAATTAATATCCTTTTGGAAACAAAATTGCATGTTACCATAGTAAATAATACCTTATAAAAATAAACTTTAGGCTCTGCTGAAATTTTAAATCAAATATTAAAGACTGCAGAAAAAATTATTATGATAAATCTAGGGAATATTAAGAGATACTTGAATTCACACATTCAATAAATGGTACACATGCCAAAGTATAAAGATATTTATAAATTATCCTTTCAGTTCAGCTCGTGTTAGGTTGTTTCCATAGCAATGAGGAAGGGGTAGTTAAACACCACTTTATCATTTCTGTGTAGCTTGTGGGAGTCATATCCTGTTCACTTCTTTTTTTTTCTCTAAAAAAGTCTTTTTGCAACTAAAATTTAATTTAATAATATTTGTATTTGCTTTTCACTCTAATGCAAAACATATGAATAGGGCAATATTGGATTTACCTTCCTCAGTTGGGTACCAGTTTCCTTTTTCCTGCTGAGATTCTAGTGCATCAAAAAAATTTAACATGAAATATCATAATCCCTCCTAATGCTGGAATTCTTTACATTTTTATATCAAAATGTGAAATACCAATTCTTGAAGATACTCCCAACCCTCCCCTACTCCCCTCCTTACGTGTATCAGTCAGAGTCCTGGCAGGAAACAGATGGTGTACTCAAGCTGGCTAATTAAAGAGAGTTTAACAAAGGGACCATTTATAAAGATGCAATAGGAAACAGGGAACAACAAGAAATGGAGCAGGTACCGGCAAGGACAAAACAGCCAGAGTTACTACCCTTAAGCCAGGAGAAGCAAATAGCAGTTATCAGAACCTGGAGAGGGTAGCTGAACAGAGAGGGCTACGTGTCAGGAGATGTGGCCTTCAGGAAGTGACACAGCTAATCAGGGTAGTGACCTGGAGGAAAAGAGCCAGCAGAAAAAATATCCAAGCTTCCTCTTTCTGATATCCTACCAGTTGTCCCCACTGGTTAAACCAAATCAGAATCCAGAGGACAAGAGAATCTATTAATACGATGTATGGAGGTCAGCCCCCAGGATACAAGGCAGGGTGAGGGGTGACTGAGAAAACCCACAGAGGCTGAACAAAGGCATCCATCGCACGCCCCACTTAGGCATGTAATTTAGTGACAATCACCTTTCAGCTTGGCAGTGGCATGGTGGGAGCTTTTTATCAGCAGAACTCGAAAGCAATTTATATGCTGAAGCATCTGTGGGAAAAAAGGAACACACTGAGCAAGACACTCGGACACGCGATAAGGTAAGAGAAATATTTATTTAATTTTACACAAGAACGAGCTTATACTGAACAAATTCAACCAAATAATAGTAAGTGCAGTAAAACGAGGAAAGAGGGATGATTTTTCTTGTTAGAAAATATTAAGTAACCATGCCTGTGCATTATTTTTTTTTATCATTACAATAACTTGTTGCAGATTTCTTTTCAGAGTGTATACTGTACAGATAACATGTTATAGCTCCTTCGCTTTGCTTCTGAAAATAGAATTCATTCACTGCCTTGCATTTTATTTTTTTGCAGTGAAGAACTGAACTGATTCGTGGAGATTCTGATCAAGGGAAAATTCGCTGCACCAGTGAGGCGAGAGGCTTTCAAAACTCCCAGAAGCTCGGGCTTTGCATCCAGCGGTCCCGATGTCACCGTGTGTATTCCACGCCCATTCTCTACATGCTGATGTCAGACACCGCGGAGGCGGGATTCTGGTCTAGGTTTTGCCCCAGGAATTTTCCTGTTGTGATTTTCTCAAGCTCCACAAATTTCATAATTGAAAGTTCACTCAGCTATTAACAATGCTGCACTTAGCTGCCCACAAATCATCCACTTTAAGTTTTAACTTTTTTTTTTTTTTCGGTCTTTTTAATGAAAGAACATTCAAACAGGAATTTCCAGTGAGACAGTTAACTTCACAGTTCCTGAAGGCACTGTGGATCCACTGAGCAACAGATGTGGCCATTCTAGAGGAAAAAAGAGGGGGAAAAGCATGGTATGAATTTTTAAGCCACTGGTAAATACTCACACCTATTGATTGGTACCCATCACAACTGAATGGTTGGTTTGTTACATATGCGCCCCTGAAAGTTCAAAGGCCCAATCACTTTTCATGTCTTTCCAACTATGACCAGTTACCTGTGGCAAACGATAGGCCGCCTTTATTTACTGGGTGGCCATCTCTTAGGTGACGTTTGTTCTTTCATTTATTCATTGACAAAACAAGCATTGAGTAAATCCAGCCCTAGCTAGACTGATGAATAAAGCAGACATGGTCACTACTCTCACAGGACAGGGCTAATAGTTTTTGGGAGGAGAAGATTGACAAGCAAACACACAATCAAAAATTGTGAAAAGTGCTAGAAAAGAAAAAACTATGTGGTGTCAGGAGATTAATACAAGACTGGCTACTTAGATTGGGCGGCCAGTGTAGACTTCTCTGTAGAAGTGATATTTAAACCAAGAACTCAAGACAGTTCTGTGAAAAGGAAGGCCAAGAGCACAGAGAACAGAAAGAGTGAAGGCTTTATAGTGAAAAGAAACCAAAGGAAGGTCCAGTCTGGGTGAGAATTTCAAGTTGGTGAAGAAAACTGTGCAGAGCTGAGGCAAGAAAAATAGTCAGGGAAGGGCCAGATATGCATAATTAGTTTTTATAACAACATACCCAAATAGTGCAGTCTATTATGGAAAAGAAAGAGATTTGTGTCTTACTCTTCTGATTCCTTGCCCTCTTACCTTCTCCCACCAGCTAGCGCACCACAATGATCACGCTAATATTGTTACCACAACCGTAAGGTGATGATACCCTTCTACTTTTGGAGTGTGTACTCTGTCTCAGACACTTTGCCAGGCACTTTAAATACATTATCTGATTTCAACCTCACAGCATTCTCAGTGGGATCACTATTAACAGTCACACTTTTTAGGTTCAGAAACTGAAGATCAGAAAGCTTCAATATCATGTCCCAAAATCACACAGCTAGTAAAATGGTGCAGCTAGGATTAAAATTCAGGCTAGCCTGATTCTAAAACCCATCTCCTATTTGATATATTCTCTCAGATAATTGACTTTAGATGGTTGAAAATGTATTTATACTTTAATGTGGTAAAACCCAAAGTGTCTGTCCGTCTAAGATAAAACTTAAAAAAGGACTTTGATATTTTAGCCTTTGTTGACGCTGATGAAATGAGGGACAAGCCAGTCGATATCCATGAAGAACATGATCAATTTAACCTAATCCCCTTTCTTAACTGTTATTAAGCAGAGTTCTTAGTCTGAGGGCAAAAGAGTGTGACAACCATCTTCTGGATCTCTAGCCATATTTTAAAGCTCTTTCATTATGTTCAGAACCAGGGGTTTTCTGACCATAACCTGGTTACATGGTGTTTCCCAATCCATTGACCCAATGAAGTGAGGGGTGTACCAGTTCCTGAGAATATCAGCGCCTCAAATTGTATGGCTTTTGAGCAGAAAGAGAGAGAATTTCTGGAGCCTTCTGTCGTTAAGTATGTGAAAGTAGCATTAGAACCCTATGGGGGGAAAATCGTTAGTATGGTGGCCATGACTATGTTTTAGGAAGGGACTGTGTACTTTCCAAAATCTTCCAGTAGTGTTTTTCTTATTCCATATCAATACGTTCTGCTATAGCAACATGGATGCTCTACAGACTATGTCATTGGAAGCTCCTCAATTAGGGAAACACAGTTCATACAAGAAAGATTAGTAAAATATTCCATTGGGGTTCCAGTTTCAGTAATGACATAGTTACATATATAAGACTAACCCTCTGACAGATAACTATAAAATTTGGACAAAATATAAAAACTATTTAAAGCAACACAGTAACTAGAAGTAGGCAGACACTGGGGGGGTTTCAATCTTTGAAAGAAGGAGAAGGTACTGTGGGAGACTCATTTTTACTTGGCATTTTCCCCTAGGGCAGTGCCTAGTCTGTGGTGATTAGGATAACTATAACAAGCAGAAAGCCACCATCTGATAGGCTCCAGACGTCAGAGGACAACCCTGAGGGCTGCCAGAGTGGCTGGAAGTTCAGGAGAAAATATCGAGAAAAAGAGGGAGCGAATCAGCGTATAAACTCCCCTCAAAGCCTTGGCTGATCTTCCAACTGCAGAGGGGACTCTAAAGAGACAATCAGAGACTCCCAGCTTGAAGTCTGAAAGATCTGAGCGGAGATTTCAGATGCTGCTCACTGTGGGCAGCAGTGTTTAAAATCTGTGTCTCGCCAAGTTAGAAAGAAGTGATAAAAAATTCAAGCTTTCCACTGAAAGCCCCAAAGGGCCATGACTAGGAGTAAAACAACGTCTCAAGATTAAGAGATTCACCCTAGAACTTAAGGCCGCATCTAGGATGGACCCACCAAACCAATGTAGAGCCAGGCCTCGCAAGTGCAAGGTGACCGGCCAGTAATCTGCAATCTGCTCGAACGAAAATAGTCTTCAGAGAAAACAAATAGGATGTAGGGTCCGTACCCTATGTTATCCCTGACATCCAGGAAACCATAACAATCATTAGACACGTGAAGAAAAACAGGAAAAAGTGACTCTTCATCAGGAGAAAAAGCAGTGGACAGAAATGACTCAAAATTAATCCAAATAGTGCAATTAGCAGACTGGAAAGTATCTATTACAAATACGTACAAAGATTAAAAAAAAAAAAAGGAGATGGGCATAATGAATGAAAAAAGATGGTAAATTTCAGCGGAGAACTAAAACTATAAATAGAATTAAATAAAAATTCTGGATCTGAGGAGTGTAATATTTGAAATGAAAAATTCATTGGATGGGTTTAACAGCAATTAGAGATGGCAGAAGAAATAGTAAATTTGAAGAAAAAAATAGAAATTATCAAATCTTTATAACAAAGAGAAAAAGACTGAAATAAAAATGGAGCCTCAGTGATCTTCAAGATCATATTAGACCATATAACACATATGCAGTTGGACTCCCAGAAGAATAAGACGAAGAAACTGTGGCAGACAAAATATCTAAAGAAAACGATGGCCAAATTTTCCTCAAATTTGGTGGAAAAAATATCAACTTAGACATTCAAAAAGCCTAGCAAAAGCCAAAGAGAACAAAGACACACACACACAATACTTAAGTGTATCATGGTCAAAATTCTAAAAAACAGATATAAAGAAAGAATCACGAAAGGAGACAGAGCAGGAAAAAAGACACACTGTACATGAGGGAACAAAAGCACAAATGAGAGCTGAATCCTTATCTAAAACAAGAGAAAACGGAAAACAATGGAGCATCGCCTTCAAAGTGCTGGGACAAATCCGTCCATCCTGAATTCTTTATTTAGTAAAGATATCCTTCAAAAATAAAGACATTTTCAGATAATTGTAAGTTGAGAGAATTTATTGCCAGTATATCTGCAGTATGGAAAATGCTGAAGGAAGTCATTGAAGCGAAAGATAAATGACACCAGATGGAGATTCAAATGTGTGAGAAGAAATGAAGAAAACCACAAATGATAAATATGTGGGCAAATACAAACATAAAATTAAAAATACAGCATTTTTTCTTCCATTAATTTCCTTAAAAGATATTTGACTGATAAAGCAAAAATAATGATATGGACTTTTAGGGTTTATAGTATACATAGTTATAAGTATATGAATATTGTAGGCCAAAGGCTAAGGGAATGAGATCATATTATTCCAAAATTCTAACATTTTATACAAAGTGGTATAATATTAAATCTTATTATACTGTAATAAAATTAATAATATATTATAATCCCTATACCAGCAACTAAAATAATAATATAAAGAGTTATAAAGAATATAAAAGAACAATTAAAATTGAATAATACAAAAAAATGTTACTAAACATTAAGAAGGAAGGAATGAGTAACTAGGAATATAAAAAAATGGACGGAATAAGTAAAAAACAAATGCCAAAATGGTGGCCCTAATGTCAAAAACTACATTAAATGTAAATAGATAGATTAAACACTTCAATTACAAGACAGTGTCACAGTGGATAAAAAAAGGAAGGACTTTTATACGTTATCTATAACAAATGTACTTTAAATATAAAACCACAGAAAGTGGAAGGATCAAAACAACGTACTGAGTGGCCACATGAATACCAGGCAAAAGTGACTTCAAGTCTAGAAGCCTTGCTAGAGATAAGGGGGGACGTTACATAATGATAAAATGGTAACTTCACCATTAAACATAAAAGAGTACACACTGTGTGATTCCATTTATATGAAATTTTAAAATAGGCAAAATATATTTATTACAATGAAATAAAATTGAGGTGTCCTATGGGAAGCACTGCCTAGAAGAGGACAAAAAAGGACTTGCTAGAGTGTTGGAAATATTCTGTATTTTGATTCATCAAACTCGTTAAATTATACACATAATAACTATGCTTTTCACCTTAATAAACATTACCTTGATAAAAATTAGAATAAAAGGTGATCCACTGAAACTTAGTCAGATTGCTAGGAATAGTAACTGCCTACTACTGTCATAACTAATTATAAAATCTGATTATTTTTACATATAACACAGTACGTTTCTTTAACATCCTGTTATTTCTGTTTCTATTTATTGGTAAAGAAGTCATCATCACTCTTTACAAACTAAGACTTTAAAAATCAAGATAGAAGAAAGTTGACTTTTGGTTTTCAGTAAAATGTTTCTGTATAATATATATGATGCATAAAATATTTTACTATTTTTAGATTTAATATATTTATTATTTATCAATTACTCACTATATTATACATTAATATATTAATTATGTTTTAAAATTATACATATTATAGATATAATACATGTAATTATATATGTATACACAATACATGGCTATAAATTATCTTCATAAAATTAATATATTTTAAAATTCCACTACTATCCATATTTGTATATCCTCACAGGAATCATTTTGTATTCCTTTATTTTCAACTTTCTTATAATCAAAGTGTATATGAAATCACACATAGTATTTTTAATCTTAATTTTTATTATAAGCATTGTTAGTACTTGAATGGTTGCATAATATAATTATATAATTACATACAATAATAATTTTGATATATCATATATTATGTCATAGAGTTACCGTAATTTATTAACTGTATTTCTATTGTTGGGTAACCATTTCTCTATTTTGGTTTCTTCCTTGACTCTGCATGCCAATTAATGTTGAGGTGACTATTGCAATGCATATGGCTTGTTCCTTATTTTAGATTATTTCTTTAGGTTGGATTCTCAGATGCAGGATTAACACGATCTTTTGGATATTTCCCCGTGGGGACGGGGAGTGGGCAAGTAGGTGTATGTGCGGCCCTTGACATGTATTTTTCAATGTGACTAACATTGCATAAGAACTACAATTCCAGTACATTTCTGTCAGCATTAGAAATTATTATGAAATTTTTTTTTGCTGTAGAATGTGAAAATAATGATTCATTATGTTATTTTAAATTTAAGTTTCAATTATTTAAAAGCTGAATGATTTTCCCTTTTTTAGTAGCTCTGTTTTTTTTAGTGAATTGTTTATTCATCCTTTGTTGATTTATTTATGGGGAAATAAGTACTTTCATATTAATTTTCATGTGTTTTTAATCTAATAAAGAAATAATATCTCTTGAAAGTATTTTTCCCATCTCTGGTTGTAACTTTCTGTTTTGCTAACTTTGTTTATATATAGAAGCTCTAAATTTTCTTTGAGGCATATTTCATCACTTTTAAATTAGAAAAGGAATCTCCCTTCTAGAATTTTGATAAATATTTGATTACATTTTGTCTTGATTTATTTTTAATACCTAGCACTTCCCACATGGCGTTTATTTTGATACATAACATAATAGTATATATAAATTACCTCCCTCAACTTGCCGTTCAGTCATTCCAATATTTATAGACTGGTCCTTTCTTCCTCTTTTGATTTGCAAAGCTCTCCTGATCATATATTAAAGTCTTCATTATAACGTTGTCCATTCATGGGGTTATTTTTTTCCATAGATAGATCTTATTATCCATTCTAATTTTAGTACAGATGTCCACTTTCCAAACTTTAAGTTTACTGTTTCTAATAGCTGAAGGCAACCTTTAGGAAGCCAGGAGTTCCAGCCTCATAAAACTGATTTTTTCCATACTTCAATTATTTCACTATTATAAGTTAAAAGAGGCCCTTTAGTTTCCAATTTCCAAAGTGTCCCACTCAGTCGTAATTTATTAAAGGAAGTGACCCTCTATAGCTCCTCCCTCCTTATTTCTCAACTGGGTACATCCCTCTTTATTGTCTGGAGCTCAAAACATAATTGCCTGAAAGCTCTCTGACCCATATAACCTAAGCAAATCATGTTTGAAGACATCTTTTAAAAAGGGAAGGAAACTCTTAACTCTGTTTCTCCCAGCTAACTCCTAATTCCTCAGGAAGTAACTGGTTCACGTGTTGTACAGCCTCTCAGCACAATTCCCCTCTCCTTCAGAGCATCCCTTACAGTTTGTAATGTGGTCTTTAGCTGGTCTGTTTCATGACTTACTCCACAACCAACAGTTAATAAAAGCCAACATTTATTGAGCGCTCACTCAACGTATGTGAAACGTGTAGGAAACTTTTTGTGTGTATCCTCTCACTTAATTCTTACAGCAATGTTCTCAAGTAGGCACTACCATTATTCCTTGGTAACTAATATTATAATAATATTCCTATCTTCAGATGAGAAAAACGGAGCCACGCAGAGAGGTTAAAAAATGTACCTGGTGGTCACATTACTAGTGTAGTTT